TATATGATTCATTAGGGATAACTAAAATATTATTAATTAAATATCAATATATAAAGGAATTGTCTGAGTAAACACCACTTGCAATATATGCATATTGATCTATATATATAAATATATATGATAAGGTGGGTCTTTATGTTAGCCACTTAGATTACTTTATATATCACATATAAAACGTATACATATATAATTCATGCCCAATAATAATAACTCTACTTATACATGTTTCATACAATTATATGGACAATGCACTAAACATATTAATAGGGAGTGAATCCCATATATATCTATAACAATTATAACATAAAGTTGGATTTAATTTATTTTTGTGGGTGAGAAAAATGGAATTTAAATTTGAAGGTTTAATTTGTCCATTCTATGAGAGAGGACTACAATGGTTTGGGTCATTAATGGCATATTACTTTTGTCACCATCACCAATCAGACAATGCTACTAAATTCATGAACAACCCAGTTGACCTTTCAACTCTTCTTGACCAATCACTCCATTTATCTGTCTTTCTCTCAACTATACATATACATCCCCTCATAACAATATAATAATATATACATATATCTATGCGTGCGAGAATAAGAATTGATTCAATATCAACAAATCCTTCAAATTATGAAAATTTGGTGAATCCAATATGTAAAAATAAAAGTTTTATTATTGATATATTTTATCTTCATATATACTATCAATTGCTGTTATTAATGAGAAGCAATTAATACCATATGGAGTAATGGTAGTCCATATTGAAGAAGTTTCATGATCAACCATGGCACAAAGAAAATATATAGAATAAATAGAATAATGGCAGTTAAAACATAAACCAGCAGTACCACATATTATTGATATATTTTATTTTAATATGTGAAGATACCAAAAGTGGTAAAACCATATATAGAATAAATAGAATAAGGGCAGTTAGAACATAAACCAGCAGTACCACATATAAGTAAAAAATATAGTAAGGGCGGTTAACTTATAAACCAGCTTAAATTGTTAAACAATAAACAATAAAGGTAGTAGAACCTACCCTTATAAATATAAACATATCTCACTTAAATATTGAATGATATTAATATAAGAAGTACTTACCCTTTGGAGTGAGAAGTAAATTTGTTTCGGCAAAACAAACAAACCCACAATCTATCAAAACTAATATCACAAGTAAGATATATGAGTTGAGATAGAGAGAGAGAATGAGAGCTTCTCTTTCAAGTCTCAGTTGGTTAGAGACTCGTGCTGATAACGTGTTATAAAACTAAAGAAAATATAGAACACAAAATTATATCTTCAATATAGAGAGAAGAATGTAGAGAGGGGAGAGATATCTTATTACTTTCTCTTAAATCCAAGTACCTCAATACAACAATGAACAATCCGTATTTATAGCCAAACTTTGCATCCTTAATGCACCATTAATTCACATCCTTAATGCACCATTAATTTAATACTATGCAATTAGTGGACACCATATATATATATATATATAACAAAATAAATAATAATAGTAACCTTTGAGTATAGCATGATTTAAGGGTAGTCAAATGTAGGTAACCCTTCGAGTATCCACGACTCATGGATGAGTAGAACGATCTACATGTGGAGACCAACTGCACTCTTGTGGGGAACTCCTGGCCCCACATTAAAATTTTACTGGTAGTATACAATTCTAAATTTGGAGTTCAAAGTAGAGTTTTGAGCTATTTTTGTGGGCCTTGCATTATTTGTTTAATAATAAAATACTAAGTTAATAATACTTAGTACTCCGTCAGTCCCAATTTAAATATCGCTATTAAAAACTGTGACTCACAAAATTAGGACTGAGGCAATATGCAAATATATCTTTGAAAATATGTAGATGTTTTATTTTATTAATTTATCTTTGAAAATATGCATAATGTTAATAAATATTTTAGATTGATTTAATTCAAACATTTCAATTTAGTACCTAATTTTTCTTCCTTTGATATATATTTTTTTAAAGACAAAAAGTGTTAAAATTAAATTAGTAAATGTAAAGAATCGAAAAATTAACATTTTGAATTGATTTAATTCAAATATTTCAATTTAATACCAAATTTCTCTCTCTAAATTTTAATTTATATATTTTTTCTTTTTTTCTTAGTTGGGACTCACACACACATGCTCCATGAAAGCTCGAACTCCTAACCTCCCTTTAAAAAGTAAGGTCTTGGTACCGCTAGGTCACAGACCTGTTGGTAATTTATATTTTTTTCAAAATAAGTAGACCATTCAACTCATTTGATACTTGTGATACTTATGTTGATTTTTGTATTAGTATACAATTCTAAATTTGGAGTTCAAAGTAGAGTTTTGAGCTATTTTTGTGGGCCTTGCATTATTTGTTTAATAATAAAATACTAAGTTAATAATACTTAGTACTATATTGTATTAGTATACAATTCTAAATTGGGACTGAGGGAGTATTGTTTTTGTATAATAATTTAATAAAAAAAAATTAAAGAGTTACTCTTTGGGTTTTTTTTTTTTTTTTTTAAAAAAAAAAAAAAATCTTTATAAATAGCACATTTGATTCACTTAATTAAATCACTCATAACCTATCTAATGTCTTTTTATTTTATTAACTTAATTGTTATAAAATATATATAATGTATTTTATTTATTTCCTTTAAAATACATATAATGTCAACAATTATATTTGTTGACCGTGTAGATGTTTTATTTTATTAATTTATCTTTGAAAATATGCATAATGTTAATAAATATTTTAGATTGATTTAATTCAAACATCTCAATTTAGTACCTAATTTTACTTCCTCTAAGTTTTGATATATAAATTTTTAAAGACAAAAAGTGTTAAAATTAAATTAATAGATGTAAAAAGCCGAAAAATTAGCATTTTGAGTTGATTTAATTCAAATATTTCAATTTTTTTTTTTTTTTTGATAAGTTAATTCAAATATTTCAATTTAATACCAAATTTCTCTCTCTAAATTTTAATTTATATTTTTTTCAAGATAAGTAGACCATTCAACTCATTTGATACTTGTGATACTTATGTTGATTTTTGTATTAATTCATTTTATTTCTGACTTGTATTTTTTCTATCAAAATTCTCTCTTTTGCCTAAAATAAAAAAATTAAAATTAAAAGTTAAAAGTTAAAAATTAAGAGAGATGCATTACTTGTTTAAACAAACAAAATTAATTCAAATGACCATACGTTCTCCATGCGAAAAATAGAAATCAAATCAAGATCCAAGTGGATTCGAACAACCATCCTCCCAAACCTAGAAACTGTTTGGACGCTCTTACCAATTTGAGCATATGGACCCATCATAAAATTAAAATAAACTGAGCTTTTAAAAGACAGACAAACTTGTAAAAGAGAAATAAATGGATGTATCACCATTTGTCCTCTACTGTATCACAAACTTTCGGAACCGTACCTTAAGGGAAGACAAAAAAAAAAAAAAAAAAAAAAAAAAAAAAAAAAAAAACTGTAAAAAGAAAAATATATGCTAGAAATACATTTGGCAACCCATGAACAATTATCACTCATATTCTTGTCAAAATTGAAAATAATGAGACTTTTCAATGAGACTAACATTTGGCAACGCATGAACAATTATAACTCATATTTCAGAGTTAATAAAACTTAAAAACATTAAAAATGATAAAACAATATAATTAGAAACATTGAAAATGATAACCAACATTTACAGTGACTTTATAATAAATATTTATGTTATTTCTAAATTCAATTAAAATATTAGCCAAAAATAGGGCTAACAATTTCTGATAATATTGACAATTAATATGCAGAAAATTTAAAGTTTTATACGATATTTAGTAATTTTGTTCACTTTAGAAAGAAAAAAATTTTAAATTTAAAAATAGCATACAAGTAATGAAATAATCTTATTACCATTTTCAATGTTTGTTTCCATCTAATACCGTGTTTTATCTCATCCATTTGTGTCTCACCATTTTTCGATTCTTTCTAGCTCAAAATTAGGGATGGCAATGGGGCAGGTTTGGAGTGGATTTCCCTAAATCTCGCCCCGCCCCTTTTAATTTTTGTCAAGTCCATGCCCGCCCTGAGACCCACGACGGTTTCATGTCCAGCCCCGCTTCGTTAAGAAATACTGTGCCCCCGTGTCCGCCCCGCTAACAAATTTTTTTATCCCACTTTTTGAAACTTAAACTCCTGCTATTTAAATGTGCAAAGTCTAGGAATGACACAACATAAATAAAATTATGTATCTCGACAAAAATAAAAAAGTAACATTCACATAAAATAATTCAGAGAACATAATAAACAAAAATAAAAATTTAATACAACAAATCACAAGAAATTCTAAGCTCCAATTTCCACCATAACCAAAACAAAAGCAAATTTAATACCAAGTTTACATTAAAAATTAAGATTGTAAGAAATGAGTAATTGGGTAAACCACTAAAATAACTTATTAATATTATATATATATTTATTAAATGTAGTTATATGCGGGGCGAGGCCCCTAAGATATATATACTGAACTCTTACCCGCCCTGTGACCCTTGACGGGTACAAAATTTGTATTCATGTCCGCCCCAACGATATAAAAAGTGTTCTCATATCCGTTATTAATGAAGCAGCCCCGGCGGGGCGATAAAAATTGACATTTCTACTCAAAATTTCAAATGTACAATTCTAACATTTTATGATATTCCATCCCACCGTTTTGTGGGTCAAAAATCACATAAACACAACATTAGAAAAGTGCAAAATAAAGAGTAATTTTGACAACAAATACAAGGAGATACAATTCAACATTTTCTGATATTCCATCCTTTGTCGGTCAAAAATCACATAATCACATCATCATTAGAAAAAGTGGACGATAAAGAGTACAACTTTATACAATTTTGACAATAAATACTAGGATATAAAACAGTTGCCTAAGCATATAACGACGACAAAATCGATGAAGTGAATTGAAACATATCCGAAGGGTGCCTCAATTATGTTGTTAGACAACAAAGTTATGAACTATAGATTACAGTCGAAGAACAATACATGGATGTAATTATGTAACGTGTAGAGTAAGAGCATAAAAAATACATGGATGTAATTGGGCCCACAGTCCCATACAACACACAATCACATATTGGACTTTCACATTGATAACATTAAATGAGAATAAGGTGTGGACCACATCCTCCCAACATCCCCCCAAAAAAATTGTATATATAATAATAATATTAATAATAATAATAATAAATTATTAGATAAAGTGCAGAAAAATGAAAAATAAAAAATAAAAAACACTTTTTGAATTATCATCCCTTTGCAAATACGTCCCATGCACGCTGAGGTGTGCGAGTGAAGAGTTATAATGTGCAAAATTAATTCGGGGACTCCAAATTCAAATCCGTTTCGACCAATACACTTTTTGAATTATGTAAGTGCATCCATTTGTTTCTACAATAATGATTCTTATAAAAAAACTATATAAAGTTATGTAACATTTATGCACAGTAAGAGCATTAAAAAAACATAGATGGATAAAATTGTGCCCATTCTAATTGATAAATGTTTGGTAAAAACATAGTCACAATGTACGTGCACTGAATTGGTAACTCCAAATCAGCCAATTTAAAAGACGACTAAAGAAACGGCAGGTTGGAGCAGAACCAATTAGGCTTGAGGCTGTGTTGCACAGCAACCACCACCTAATTTGTTGTATATATATTGAAAGTCACACACATATATATATATACAATTTTCTTTTTTAAAAAATGAAAGTCAAATGATGTTTGCAATATAGGAGTCGAATTAACTTCTTTTATTGCTAATTTGTTTATCAGGAAAAAATGGCATAATTGTGAAAATATGCTGGGTTAAAAAAATGCTAAAATTAATGGGAAATTTTGATAAAAAGACGGCGATTATATGTACCTCTTGAACTGAAAACCATGAATTTATAATTATCCTCGTGTTTGCTGGCTTGAAATGAAGAATCAGACGGATTTGAGGCAGTGACACTAGACGCAAAGGGAGAGCCGGGCATAAAACCACGGGCCATCTCCCCAAAGACACAAAAGAAAATTTTTATTATGTTTTTTTTTTTTTTTTTGTTGACCTGCCATGCAAGCGCACCTGACATGGCAAAGGCCTGTGACAACAGCTCTCTTTCTTCCCATATCTCTTATCTCTATCTCCCGCCACACTAAAACTGCACCACAACTATATATATATATATATATATATATATATAGTTGTATATGTAAACAGTAATAAAATAATCCAACAAACCCTTACACAACCATAGTGGCCTCAAATTCTTCACATCGCCAAACAGATCTATCGGAGTACGAGCAGATCTGAAACAAACACTGAAACACACATAAGAACGGTCAGGTCAGGTCAGGCCATGATCTGCTAAAATACATCACACAAAATCATTCAAAAAGAGACCTCTCAAATCGCATAATTTTGCACCCAATACCTCGACAAAGCACATAAATTCTCGTCCAAGGCCGTCACATATCATAATATACTGTAGAGATTCAGTAGATCCATACGAACTTCCAAAGCCTTCAAGATAAATTACAAAACGCAATGAATTTAAAGCCAAAAAAAAAAAATATCAAAAGTTATTGTTTTGATCGCACAAATATAGATACGTACCTACCTCTGGATCTCTGAAGCTGAGACCAAGCCATCGATGAAACCAGTGATTGAAGTAATATTACTCAAAGACATGATGAATTCAAAAGACGACGAACGGATCTAACGAAACATATGAATTGATGAGACGGTCTAGGCTTGCATTCAGATGGCTAGCTCAATTTATTGACCTCTAAAATGATCCAACGGCTATGATTGAAGTATCCGTGCAATGCGCCGTTGTTTATGCATTTTTACGAGAATGTCATGGACAAATTATTAGATGGTCCTATTTAGTATTTTGTGGACTAACCCTAATTGTATCCCAGTTGGCTAACCTTAATCCTAATCATTAACCACAATGCCCAATCCCATCCATTAACAACAGCAAGCTAGACCAGTAGATCGAATTTTGATTAAATTCGATCTACTTATAGGTCTAGTTTTAAGTGTTAAAAGAAGAATCCTTGGCGATCTTTTTAAGAAAAATTGAGGGAAAGATGATTGAGGGAAAGATGTCGTTAAAATATGGTGAATTTTTTTTATTTCAAAACGGTATAATTTTTAAACTTTGGTAAAATATAAACTTTTTACGTGATTTAACACAAGTAATCGATAGATTTTAAATGTCACGTGAATTCAACGTAGGTTAAATATTTAACTTAGAAAATTCAAGTCCTTGAATTAAATGATGCAGTTTTTAAACTTTCTTTAAATTAATTGACATGGTTTAACATGGATATATAAAAAATAAAAGGAAAATTGGATAGAAAATTACTTCTTGTATTCATGTAAGGCAACACCAAAGCAATATTCGGAAGTTTGAATCAATTCTATTAGTATTTTAATTTGTGTGGACTTGTTTAGTTTTTATCTATAAATTTTTACACTTACATATTCCTTCTTCAAATTTTAACTTTGAATATGAATACAACACGACATTCCTTACTACTTAAGCATTATTGTCTCAATCTTTTATGATATGGAATAAAAGAGGGGTTTATTGTTTGGAGTATATGAATTTAAGGTTAATTTTGACATTTTGCCTTTCGCTGCTTTTCTCTTTTATTTATTTACTTATTTTTTTATTTTTTTTTACTAATGATAAAATAAGGTTAATTTAATAATTTTACTGTCAAAATTAATTATGATTTGTTTTTATTTGCACAAATTGATAAAGTAGGTGTGTTTTTTATTTTTATTTTTATTTTATTTATTTTTTTGCAATTAACCCTTTTAAAATTTCTTAAATTAATCCTATTTTGTTTTTAAATTTAAATAGAATCTCTTATAAGTTATAACCGCTTAAATTTTTCAACTTGACCGGCTATTTAGCGTTTATATAAATATTAATTGAATGTGTTCTAGCGTATTATATAGTCCGTATATTATATAGCATAGAATTATATATGAATTTTGATTTGTAATTTTATCTTGAATTAGGTGGTTGCACGTTTGTAGCTTATTTGGCTACTTTATGTGTTTTAAAAACAAATTTTTTAATATACAAAATATCTTAATATACAGAAGAGAGAAAAAAAATAGCAAAACTTGCAATTATAGAAACTAAACCTTTATATAAGCCAATAACTTTAATTTAATTATGTCATTTTTGGAGATTCTTTCTATTAAATTTTTAAATAATTAAAACTAAGAGTTACAATTTTTTTATCATGAATGAGTGACTTTTTTTCTGGTGAATAAGAAACCCTTCTATTAGATCATTAAATAGTTTAAGGATTAAATGTTTTGACACCCGAGATTTGGGTTTATTGCACTTATGTTAAACTATGAGCCAAAATTACTATGACACCCCTTTCAGTTTTGGTTTAATTTGTCTTGACACCCTTAATAAAATTAAATATCTAAATTACCCTCCATCCTCGCTTTCTCACTCTATCTCCTCTATCAAATTGTACCGATGAGTTCGAACGAAATTGTTGATAAGATCGAATGCTCTGATCCGACAGTTCCAATTCAAAATTCTGAGGATCTGGGTCTTTATATCTCCCCTTGTTTCAACTAGAAGTTTCCATTTTTCGTCCAAAGCCAGCAAAATCAATGATTTTACGAAATGGGTTTGAACAAATTTAATTGTTAAATCATTCCATTAGCTGGAATGGACAAGATTGCACTAAAAATTCTAAAAATGTTCACTGCTGCTTATATTTTTTACTTTTTTTAAAATAATAATAATAATAATAAGAAGAAGAAGAAGAAGAAGAAAAACGAATTTTAAAGGAAACAAATTAGAGCATAATTAAATAAAAGAATTTTAATCTTTTAAAAATATAATTAAAGAAATTTAAACAGTAAAAGAGAAAAAAATTTAAAAAAATTAAACCAAAACTTAGGGTGTGTCGAAACTTTTGCTCAGTTTTAATCTAAGAACAGTAAATTCAAAACTTAGGATGTGTTGGAGCATTTAACCCATAATTTAAACTAGAAGTTACAATTTTTTTACCATGAATGAATGAACTCTTCCTCCTTAATAAGAACCCTAATTTACATAATTTATTTAAAGCTTTTTATGATTTTATTTTGATTTAGTATTTTTTTTATTAAGTTTAAATTTGAAAACAATACCCAACACATATGGAGTAGTTGAAAAATATGGAGAGTTTAAAAGAGAATATATATAATAAAAAAATATTAGTAGAGGAAAACAAATTAGAGATGGATAAAGAACCTAGTATAATTGTTCGTATTCTATTTTATTTTATTTTTAAAAATTTATTTAGTTTGCTAAAATAAAAAAACACAAATACATAAAATATATATATATATATATATAGAGTCCTGATCTCTTGCTCCCCATGGAGCAAGAAAAATAATCCACACTTTTTATATAGACCGTTAGATTTAATCTATGGCCTTTCCTTTTAAACCAAAACCACTCTCACACTATTTTACCATTACCACCTACTCTAACAATAAAAGGTAATTATCAAATTAAAAATAGAAAGCTTTGAAAAAAAATTAATACCGTATATTTTACTAATAAATTTGTTTTTATAAATATCTTTTGGCTTTCACCTCTATTTTTCACGATTATGTCAAACAAACAAAGAAGAATTACCACCTACTCTAACAATAAAAGGTAATTATCAAATTAAAAATAGAAAGCTTTGAAAAAAAATTAATACCCGTATATTTTACTAAGAAACATCTTTACTGCAAATATACTGCAATGTTGTATTTTGGAGCATGAATTGATTAATTGGAATTGAAATTTAAGAAAATTTCATTTAAAATTTGAATAAAAGTTCTTTCTATTCAATTTGAAGATAGACATTTGGTGAAATTCATTATTCAATATGTGAGTTTGATTATTGAATGATGATGATGTACGGACTATGTTATAGTTATTTGTGCATGTGAATAACAATATTATACAACTGAATAATGGAATAAGATGACATTGGTTTTATTCAAAATTGTTAAAGCTTAAACTAAATAAAACAAAAACAAAAATTTTAATCTCTTCATAAAGGGCTGAAACTTAACAAAATTTAAAAACATTTAATCCCCAAAGTCTTAAAGTAAACTCTTCCATGACAAATAAAAGTAAAGCCAAATAATAGACATTTAGGCCTCAAAACCTAGAAACTCCAGTCCATCTGTTTGCTCTTCCTCATATTTTCAAAATTAATGAAATATCTCTCCACTTCGTGTAAACCTGAATAAAAAAAAAAATCAACAACAAATTAATAATTAAGCATATATATATTGACTTAGATGAAATAAACGGAATTATTATTGCCAATAAAGCAAATAAAAAAATTTACAAAATAATGAAAAAAGTTCAAATTCAAACCTTGAACACATTCAATTACATCCATCATCCATATGTTCTGACCCATAAGAAATATTCTCCTCATTGTTTATAGTAGACCTGAAACAGAGAAAAAAAATGCATGTGAAACACTAATTAATTTCATAATTAAGTAATAATAATAAGCATGAGATAATGCTCACTTGTTAATAAGCGTTGGACAATTTCTTTTGTCATGTGACTGTCCAAGTTCTCCACAACCACGACAACGTCTACGATTTGTCTTTTTAGTCTCTCTCCATGACCTCAAACGTTTACCGCATCCTTTTGCTCTAACTTGAAGAGGATCATTAAAGGTTTGTTGTAGATGAATGTCATATTGCTTTTCTAATGATGAAGCATTTTTTCCTCCAATTTTACTTGCATTCATGGCTTTTAGTTGTTCATGAAATGTGTCCAGCGTGTTTATTAACAGTTCCGTACCTTCTTCTGAGAATGCAGCTTCATCAATTACAGCTGATGCAAGTTGAGATACCTTAGTACGTCTCACTAAAACCGACTTATCTTGTGCATCTTTAATCTCTAAACCATCTTTACCAGTAATGCTTCCAACTCTTGCAAACTTTGTCCATCTATTCTTAATATATTGCTCTGGCAAAAATACAACTTGCTTTATTCTAAAAAATGCTAGAATATGCTTGCATGGGATGCCTTCAAATTCAAAACGTTGACAATTGCACTTGACATTATCAATTAGCTTATCGTGCACAAGTTGTCGAACTTTAAGATCTCCATAAAGCACCCTATTGACCTCATAAACACATTGACTTTCATCATCCAATATAATATTTAATACATAAGCATTACTAGCATAAAGCTCTTTCTGAAATTTATGAAAGTATTCCTTTGTAAACATACCCATCATTTGCTTCTCCATAGGCACCATGGATTTCAAGTTTGGCTGTTCATTAATATCAGCATGATCATCAATCACCTCTTCATGTCGTAGATGTCCAACTGCCCTGTTAAATCCTATAATAAAATCCATTAAAGAATTGTCCTTACAGCAATACCTCTTGAAGAATGCATGGGAACTTTCAGCTCTTTGACTGCTTGTCATACCAGCAGAGAAGAATTTATTGGTAAATGCTGGAACCCACTTATGACGCAATGTATACATTGTTCTTAACCATTCATTATTTTGTTGTTTACTTTTTTCAAGCGCGTGGTTCCAACTTTCTTCAAACTCTTCTATTGTATCTGAATTCCATAAAGATGATTTAAAAAGGTCATAGTAATCTCGAAATACAACTGAGTCCAATTTTTCTACAAATTTTTTTGAGATGTGCCAAATACAATAGCGATGAAATGTGTCTGGAAGAAATTGAGCTATAGCCTTTGTCATTGCAGGATCCTGGTCAGTAATAAT